ATGGATGGAAGAATGGATGGAAGGATGGATGGATGGAAAGATGGATGGATGGATAGGTGGATGGATGGAAAGATGGATGGATGGATGGATGGAAAGAAGGATGGATGGATGGATGGAAAGAAGGATGGATGGATAGATGGATGGAAAGATGGATGGATGGATAGATGGATGGAAGGAAGGAAGGATGGATGGAAGGATGGATGGATGGAAGGAAGGATAGATGGATGGAAGGATGGATTGATGGATGGAAGAATGGGAGGATAGAAGGATGGATGGATGGAAGGAAAGATGGATGGATAGATGGATGGATAGATGGAAGGATGGATGGAAGGATGGATGGATGGATGGAATGTAAGCTCTTTGAGGACAGGGTCTGCTTCATTCATCGCTTTTGTACCAGCAGCATGTTGCACGATGCCAGCCATGTAGTAGAAACTTAGTTAAGGTTTGTTTGTTTCAGTTTTTTGGTAGGATCTTAACCCTCATTTCTAAGAAATTAGGAATTTCTTGGCTGTCGTGGGAATGTTTCACTCAGATCAACAAACATTTATCACAGTAACATCATAGATGTGTTTAGTCAGTCAACAAGCATTAATTAAGTGCTTACTGGGTGCCAGGCATGGTGCTAAGTACCAAGGATAAAAAGAAAGGCACAACCCCAGTGTTGGATCTCAAGGAGCCCACATTGAGGGGACTTTAAAGGGCATAGAGTGTGGTCCCTCCTGAATTTTACAGAGGAGGAAACCGAGTCCCAGAGAGAGGAAGCTACTCCAAGGTTACAAAGATAGTAAGTGGTGGGGATGGCTTTGGAACTCTCTGCATGAGGAAATCACCTCTGTTGAACAGGTTGGCCCCTTCTCTGGTCCTCCAGTATAAACATTTGCAGTGATGGAGAGAGAGAATTCATGTCAAAGGATCAGAGCTCTAGAGCTGGGAGAGACTCTAGAGGCCATTTGGACCAGCCTGTTCATTTTACAGATAAGGAAACTGAGGCCTGGGGAAGTTGGTCCAGAGTCTTTTTTTTTTTGCGTTTGTGTCCTCAGCACCTGTAATAAACAGCACTTGGCACATATGAAGTCCTGAATAAGTGCTTCTCTGTTGTTGCTGAGGCTCCTCTGTAATAGTGGCAGAGGCGAGATTCAGACCGAGGTCCTGTGACCCAGAGCCAGGGACCGGTGGGAAACTTCACTCCTCTTTGGTCTGTCCCCAGACATCCGTTGGGAGCAGGGCACTGGGTGTGTGCGCCTTTGTTATCACAGAGCTGACCCGTCCTGTTCTTGCCTTCTCTGGCCTTCCTAGAAATGAGAGCAGACAAACAGCTCTTTCAGTGATGCTGCGTTCACAGGCGGTGACATCGCTGCTGCAGACGGGCTGTTAAAAGTCTTTATTCTTAGGGGAGAGACGTTCTTTGGATGTTCTGAATGTGGCACCAGCTCTGGCTTAATCCAAGGCTGAACACTTAACCTCCAGCGTCTTAGGCCCAGTCTTTAAAAAAAAAAACCCAAAACAAAAAACTTATTTATATGAATAACTTTTGTTTTTAACGTCATCTTCATTTCTGAATGTGTCCCTTCCCCTCTCCTACCTAGAGGGCCATCCTGAGTGACAACAACTAAAAGAGAAAGGCTAAAAAAAAAAAACCGGTTCAGCAAAACCAGCCACCACGTACACTGTGTCTGATGGAGGAAGCCGTATTCCGCTCCCATAGTCCCCTGCTTCTGCAGAGGGGGGAGGGAGAGAGATATGAAGAGGGGGAGAGAGAAGGGAGGAGAGAGAGAAAAAGGAGAGAGAAGGGGGGAGAGAGACAGAGAGAGAGAAGGAGAGAGGAGAGAGAGACAGAGAACAAAGACAGGGAGAGAGAAACAGAGAGAGGGGTGTCCCTGGAGAGGAGAGAACGTCAAGGAGACAGAGTGACGAACAGTGTCAGAGGCTGCAGAGAACTCAGAGAGAATGAGGATGGAGAAGAGGCTGTCCCCGGGAAGTCCAGCCTGTCTACTGAGACAGACCATTCACCTCTCCAGCTCTGGAGGTGTGGGTTCCAATCCCAAGCCTTCAGCTGTCTAGGCCTTAGTTTCCTCATCTGTAAAATGAGGGTTGGGAGTGGATAGCCACTGACAGCAGCAACAGCCTTTCATGTGATGCTGTAAGGTTTGCAGAGTGCTCTAGAGAAACTAATTCATTTGATAAGGGCCAATCAGAATGAGTCTAATTCTTGCTTTTCCATAGGAGGGCCCTTCATATGCTTGAAGACAGTGGTCACGTCCTCCATTTTGTTCTCTAACCCAGACCTCCCTCCTTCCTTTCCTTTTCTCCCTCCTCTTCTCCTTCCATTCTGCTTCTTTCCTCCCTCTCTCCCTCCCTCCCTCCTTCCATCCTTCCTTCCTTCTTCCCTCCTTCCTTTCTTCCCTCCCTCCTGCCCTTGAGGGTGGAATGATGGGGTGGCACACCTGATGAGGCAAATTTAGGCTTGATGAAAGCAGAAATATCCTAATGATTCGACCCAAAAGCTTATACTCTAATGGAAGTAATAGATCTGTAGTGACCCAGAGTTGGAAGGACCTGAGAGATGACAGATGTCCCTTATCAAATGAGTAGTATGATGCCCATTATACGTATGTGTTATTCTTCTTGTTCCATTGTTTTAGCAGCACCCAACTCTTCATGACCCCGTTTGGGGGTTTCGTAGCAGAGATACTGGAGTGCTTTGCCATTTCCTTCTCCAGCTCATTTGACAGATGAGGAAACTGAGGCAAACAGGGTTCAGTGACTTGCCCAGGGTCACCTAGCTAGTGAGTGTCTGAGGCTGGATTTGAACTCAGGAAGATGAGTCTTCCTGACCCCAGACCTGGTACTGAATCCACTGTCACCTAGCTGCCCTATAGCATAAATAACAGACTGATTTTTAAAAGTTTATTAATATGTTTAATTTTTACATCCTTTTTATTACCCACTCTTCTCCCCCATTCTGAGAGGTATTCCCATAATGCAGAATGAAAAAGAGACAAAAAAAAGCAGCTCAGCACATCTGAGCACATGTCCCTTCAGTCTGACAGCATGTGCCATTTCCTGTATCCTTAGTTACAGGCTCTTCCACCTAGAACTGGAAGTGATCTTAGAGGCCCTCTGGTTTTGGCCATCTTGATTTTATACGCAAGGGCCAGGTGGATGAGGGGATTTGCCCCAAGGTCACACAGATGTTAAGCAGCAAAGGTGAGATTTGAATCCAGGTCCTCTGACTTCAGAGCTTGTCCAGGTACTTCTCAGTGCCTCACCTGCAAAGGAGGAGATGTGCGTTCCATAACTCTTCTTTGGTGCCCAGCCTGGGCATTCTAGTTACCCAGCCTTCAGTTCCTATGTTTGCTGTTGCTGCTATTGTAACTCTCTCTGTTTACCTTGTTGTAGTCATTGTGTGTACATCTTGTGTCCTGGTTCTGTTCACTTCGCATCAGTTCGTGTAAGTCTTCCCACCCTTCCCTGTATTCTCTGTTCATCATTTCTTTTTTTAAAATTTTTTAAATTAAAAAAAAATTTAAATATAAAATTAAAAAAACAAGAATGTCATGTACACAGTAGAACATAGGAGAGGATTCAAAATATATAGCAATAACTTTTCATTTCAAGAACACCTGTGTGTTAAATACTGTGCATTATGTTGAAAGCCGTCCATCTTTTCTTTGCTCCTTGTAGGTTTTCTTTTGTTCTCTGCTGCATACTTTTTACTTTGTTCTTTTTTCCCCCCTCCCTCCCCCTTGCCCACCACCCCAGGGCTACAACTGAGCGTTCAATATATTTATATATAGGTATTGATATATACATACACACACATACATACATACACACGTATATACATGCATACACACATATATGAACATATACTTTCCCTAAGAAATTCTACTCCTAATCTTTGTTTTTATGTTTATACAGATCTCTTATTTTCCTGTCTCTCCTGACACTTCTACTTTACTTCTGTCTGCTACCTTACCCTCCTATTACTTGACCTACCCCCACTCTAGCAGTCCCTCCCTTATCCTCCCATTCCCCTAAATCTAAACCCCCTTCTATATCCCCTTTTGGCCTATTCCCACACCTTCCCCGTGTTCATCATTTCTTGCAGCATTAAGATAAGATATACTATCACCTGCCACAATTTAACAGGCCACTTTTGAGAAGGAGTCATGAACTGCCTGATTAGGAACTCAGTGTCATAAAGCTAGGACTGGAAAGGACATCTAGGTCAACCTCCTTGTTTTATTGATGAGGCAAATGACAGTTTTCCGCCGTTTCTTTGTTCAGCTCCAGATTGCATGGAAAGGACTCAGAAAATAATAGCTTGCAGCTGGGCAGCTAGCTGGTACAGTAGATAGCGTGCTGGGCCTGGAGTGAGGAAGCCTTGAGTTCAGATCTGGCCTTAGACACTTCCTAGCTCTGTGACCCTGGGCAGGTCCCTTAACCTTGTTTGCCTCAGTTTCCTCATCTGTAAAATGAGCTGGAGAAGGAAATGGTAAACCATTTCAGTATCTTTGCCAGGAAAACCCCAAATGGGGTCATGGGGGGGTTGGACCCAACTGAAAACGGCTAAACAACAACATTTATGTAGTGTTTTATAAAGGCTTTTAAGTATATGGTACCTGCCAGGCACTTTACAAATATTACTTCATTTTATAGTCTTTTATAGAGGTAGTTTTTTGTTTGTGTTTTTGCTTAGGCAACGGGGTTAAGTGACTTGCCCAGGGTCACACAACTAGTAAGTGTTATGTGTCTGAGGCTGGATTTGAACTCAGGTCCTCCTGAATCCAGGGCTGGTGCTCTATCCACTGCATCATCTAGCTGCCCCTATAGCTGATTTTTTACCGATGAAAAAAAATGAGGTTAAATCAGAGAGACGATACAGGTAGCAAGTGTCTGAGGCCGGACTTGAACTCATAGCTTCCTGACTACAGATGCAACGCTCAGTGGGCTATACCTCCAGGAGTGTGAGATGTGTCTGTTGCATTTGACAGGGCAGAGAAGCTGCAGCTGCTGAATCACAGGCCCATGACTGCTGTGGAGATCCAGCTGGTGAGTGAGCCCAAGCCACTGGGGCTTCAGGGGATGAGTGGGAAGGAGCAGAGGCTGGAGCCGCTTCCCAGGGGGCAGAGGGGACCTGTTGCCTTTCAGGGCATCTTTCCTTAAAGGGCTGTCTTGTGGAAAGGGGACAAGACATAGTCTTGCTTGGCCCTAGAGGTGGGATTGGGGAGTGGGCTGGGGCTTAGAGGCAGATTGAGGCCAACCATGGGAGCTCCCTGGGTCCCTGCTCCCTGGAGGTTTTCAGACAAAGGCTGGCTGACCACTTCTTGTCACTTAGCTCATAGACATTCAGGTATAGGTTGCTCCAACCCAGAGATTCTTTGTCTCTGCCTGAGCTTGGGATCTATCAAATATGCCAGAAGCTGAGAATGAGCCAGAGAGGGTAGGAGCTAGGATCACAGGGTCACCAATTTAGAAGCCGTCTAAGCCCCCCTCATTTTACCAAGGAGGCGACTGAGACCCATGAGGATGAAATAAATTACAAAGGTAGTAATAATAGTAATGGCTAATGGTTTGCATTTATTTATATGTCTCTTTAAGGTTGGCAAAACACTTTACAATATTTTCTCATTTGACCCTCACAACAGTCCTGTGAGATAGGATCTGTTAATAACCTCAGTTTGCAGATGAGTAAACTGAGGCTGAGAGAGGGAATTTGGTAGTAAACTAGCCTCTCAAACAGGATTTGAATTGAGGTCTTCCTGACCTCAAAGCCAGTGTTCTTTGTCCTTTACCAGCTGTTTGGACAGAACTGGGATTAGAACTCAGGTCCTCTTATTTTAAATCTTTCCACTGTACCAGACTGCCTAGATTTGTCCCGATGGGGTCATTTTTTAAGGATGTTGAGAAGCGGCCGTGTCAGTTGGCTGACTTCTTAGAAAGCCGCATTGACTCGGCATGCAGCTGGTCCTTGGGGACCAACAAAAGCCGGTGGCCTCTTTCCCTGCACTGACAGAGGGGCGTCCCACCGTGGTTGCCAATAAACTGTGTCATTCCTGGAGTGTCTGCTGAGGAGGTCCAGAGATGTAAGCTCTAACGCCATTTGTATCAAGACACCATAACAACCTGCTTGGGCTCTGCGGGATAGAAAGCTTAATGAAGTCAGAATGAGTGGCTGTTTTCAGGTCAGCAGTCCCCTGCGTTGGCCATCAGAAACTTTGTTTGGGAAGGCAATAAAGCAAAAAAAAAAGAGCAGATTTTGGAGACAAATGTACAGTAATCAGCTCTTCTCTCTGGGTCTGGGTCTTTTCTGTTCCACGTTGCCTTGAGATAATAAATGTGTCCTCACTGAAATTGAGAAAAGTGTTCAAGAAAAAAGGACACAGAGAACCTAAAATGTCTGGCCTATAGATCCCTTAGAATTGGGTGTTTGGGGGAAAAAGGGATGGGGAATGGGGATAGATACTGGACCTGTTATTTCATTGGTATAAGGAACTCCCAGGTGAGGAAAGCCCTCTACCAATGCAGGTCAGCACCCTTTCTGCCCAGGGTCAGACAGTCAAAGGCCGGACTTCCTGGCCTCAAGGCTGGCTCTCTTCTGACCACATCACAGTGCTTCTTTTTCAGTAGGGGAGGGGAAGAGGCAATAATTTTTTTTTAAAGGACCATGAAGGGTATTGTTTTTTAAATGTTGCTGAAACTGCTCAGCAGCTATGTGGATAAAGGGCTGGCCTTGGAGTCAGAAAGACCTGGGTTCAGGTGCTGCCTCTGGCATTAACTGGTTATGGGAACTTAGGTAAGTTAGTAGTGGAAAGAGCACTGACTCTGAGGCCCGAGGTCTTGAGTTCAAATCCTACCCCTGTTGCACCTTGGGCCAAGCTAGAAGGGACCTTGGGAGTTATTGAGATGAAGAAACAAAAGCCCATAGAGGTCGACTGACTTGCCCCAGTGTCACTCAGCCAGCAATCCTCTGTGGTAGGATTTGAACCAAGGTCTTCCTGACTCCACGTCTCACATACCACCTAGTCTACCACCACCTCTCCTTCACAGGCCTAGAAAAAACTCCTAAAGGTTTAATTTTTGTTTCTGTGTTGACAGAAAAGTGTTTATTGTTTTCTGAAACTGTTTTGGCCCTTTTTAAACAGACAGAAAAGTTAAATTAGGATACCAGTTTCCCCAGGTGTCTTTCCAGGGAAGCTGGAGATCTTGTCGCTCACCCGCTTTTCCCAAGAAGCGGCTGCTGTTTTTTACCTGTTTGACATCGAAGACTGTGAGCTTCAGAGGGCGTCAGCTTGAAAAAAACAGCCCCCGAAAACAAAACACCACGAGACCGTGACTCCCATCCCACTGGGTTACAGGTCACAGGCTGCATCTCTGTCTCTTCCGCCAACATTAACCAGCACCATGTGCTGTTCTTGGCTCAGGGACATGAGGTGACGGCAGGGAGGAGGAGGAGGGGAAAAGAGAAGATGGGGAGAAGAGGAGGGAGAAGAGGAAGGGGAGGAGGAAGAGGAGAAAAAAGGGGAGGAAGGAGAAAGGGAGGAGGGGAGAAGAGGAAAGAGGAGGAGGAGGAAGAAGAGGAAGAAGACAAGGAGGAGGGGAGGAGGGGGAGGAGGGGAAAGGGAGGAGGGGGAGAATAGGAAGGGGTGGAGAAGGAGGAAGAAGGGGAAAAAGACAAGAAGGAGGGGGAAGAGGAGGGGGAGGGCCTGTGCTTGGAGCTTAGACCACTGTATGATGGTAACTTGAAAGGAAGAAAGCAGTGTCCTCATCCTGGCCTTATCTCTGAGATTCTTCCCCTCCCTAACGTGTTCTCTACCTCTGCCCTCCTCAGAGAGATCCATCCATCCTTCCCTCCCTCCCTATTTCCTTCCTTCCTTCCTTCCTTCCTTCCTTTCTTCCTTTCTTTCTTTCTTTCTTTCTTTCTTTCTTTCTTTCTTTCTTCTTTCTTTCTTTCTTTCTTTCTTTCTTTCTTTCTTTCTTTCTTTCTTTCTTTCTCTCTTTCTTTCCTTCTTTCTTTCTTTCTTTCCCTTTCTCAAGATTTTCTCCAAGATTCTCTCCATCTGTGATTCTTTCACTTGTCTCCCTCTCCACCCCTTCCCCTCCCCCTACCCCCATGAGAGATTCTCTCTCCTTTCTTCTTTCCTCCTCTAGCAGACTCTCTCCCTTACACTGGGGTAGTGATGTCTCTGGGATGTCTCTAGCACTTTCTGGGGCAGCGGTACAAGTGCTTAAGGATCATCACCTACTCCCTAGAAGAGAGATTAATTGATTTCATCCTGGGCAGCCAGGTAGTACGGTGCATAGAACACTGGGCCTGGAGGCAGGAAGGACCTGAGTTCAAATGTGGCCTCAGTCACTTAACTAGCTATGTGACCCTGGGTAAGTCACCTCACCTTGCTTGCCTCAGTTTCCTCATCTGTAAAATGAGCTGGAGAAGGAAATGGCAAATCACTCCAGTGTCTTTGCCAAGAAAAGCCCAAATGGGGTCACAGATCTCATGCTGTGAAAGTGGAAAATGGAAGGGGGCTGAGGCTTTCCACGTGGCTGCCTTTCGGCTATCCCTTTCCCCAGCGCCAGGAAGCGTTCTCACCGGTTGCAGCCAGCTGGCTTCTCCCCACTGCCCTTCTCTCACTGGCACTCCCCCCCCCCCCGCCTCGTGTATATTTTCTCTGGTTTGTATCTATGTGTCCGGTGATCTTTCCTCCAGGTAGAATATAAGCTCTCTGGAGGCAGGGGCTATAACCTTTGAACCCCCACGGCCCCCCTGGTGCCTTTGGAGTCGGGACCCAGGCTCCCACCCTTCCTCTGCCATTTATCATCCCTGTGTCCTCAGCCTTAACCTCTCTGCTTAAGTGAGGTAGTCATCTCTAAAGAAAAGGGGTGGAACCAAAGGGTGTCGGATTCCTTCCAGCCCTGAGGCCGGGATCTTGTGGACTGTCTGTATCTGTTGGACCCTGGGACTGTGGTTATTCCAGTTCTGTTCCAGTTATATAACCAGGGTCAATGTCAGGACTTAAGGTTTTAAAATATCATAACTTTTTTCTTTGCATTTTTCTTGTTGAATTGAAATGATTTGCCAAAGTCATCCCTCTGGATAGCAAGGAAGGAAGCAGGCATTGATTAAGCTCTCACTGTGTACCAGGCACATGCTAGGTGCTTTAGAACCAGTCCTACCTGCTTGATCCTCACATCAGCCCTGCTGAGACAGGGGCAGGTGCTGGTGTTTTCCCCATTTTACAGTTGAAGAGGCTGAATCAGATAGAGGTGCAGTGACTTGCCCAGGGTCATACAGCTAATAAGTGTCCAAAGCTGGATTTGAACTCAGGTCTTCCTGACTCCAAGACTAGAGTTCTATCCATTGCGCCATCTAGCTGCCCCTTGTTTTCCATCATTCTTGCGGAGGCCTCTCCCAGTCCCACTTTTGCTGAAAGTCTCCTCCCTTTCCCCAGTGCCTTGCCCTCTCCTGCAGCCCAGCAGAGCATTTGATTCCTTTGGCTCCCACCTCCCTGTTGACTCCTGTTGAGCTTGTGGTCTGCTAGCACCCTCAGATCTTTTTCGAGTGAATGTTTTTTTTCCTTAGCCATCTCTTCTCCACAGTGGATGCTATGCCCTTTTCCTGAGCTATTTCAGTAACAGTTTCTAAGATAAGCGAGTTGACACTGTGAGGTCACTCCAGACAGGAGAGGTTGTGTATACTTTTTAAAAAAATGGTAATTTGTGAAGTTTACAGATGAGTAAACTGAGGCAAACAGGGTGAAGTGACTTGCCCAGGGTCACATAGCTAAGTAAAGGTCTGAGGCCAGATTTGAACTCAGGTTTTCCTGACTCTAGGCCCTGTGCTTTACACATACTATTGTGTAATGTGTATACACATGTGTGTGTGTGTGTGTGTGTGTTGTGTCTTTGTGTTCTATATTGAAGGACAGACTTGATTTCCACTGGTCCAGAACAGCTCAGCCCCCTTTTTGTGGAGAGAGAGCAGGAAGTATTGTTACTTATTTAAGATGGGGGGATGAGAGTGGAGAGAATGAAGAAAATATGTTTAATTAGTGATGTGGGGACATGATAAAGAAGCCTTGTGCTTTGGGGGCCTCTGTGGGGCCAGCAGAGAGGTCCCCTTTGTGTCTTAGCTCTTAATCCAAGGCCCAAGAGGCCTGGGAGGAGAGAATCCTGACAGCTCTCCCATCTGTCTAGGCCTGGGAATAGAATGGAATATTATATTAATTCCATTGCATTAATATTAAGGCTGTCTGAGAGAGTGTGCAGTAGAGTGTCTGCTCCTTGAGGACAGGGACTGTGAACAGCACCTAGTACAGGGCTTGGCATACAGAAAGAGCTTAATAAGTGCTTGTGAATTGAATGGGAATGAAAGGAATTGATGTCATCTCTAGTACTGTGTACAGTTGGGCAGGAGGGGCCTCTGAGCTCAAAGTTGCTGGATCGTAGGTGTAGACCAGGGAGGGATCTCAGAGGCTAGCTGGGCAGGGCCACCTTGCTTTACAGATGGGGAAACTGAGGCCTGGAGTGGTTAAGTGACTTGTTGAGGATCACCCAGGTAGTCTGTGTCAGAGGCAGGATTTGAACGCAGGTCGAGCATCCTTTTAGTCCAGCCCAGTCCGGGAAGGATTCACCAAACTTTGAGACAGTTGGGCACCCGTCTTCATCATAAGCATCTTCATGGAGGGCATTCCAGAGCTTGCTTCACTTAAACAAATCTTTAAAAATTAAAAGTGCCTTCTTTATTGGCTGTTCTGAAGGCAGAGTTTGGCGGCTTTCCCCCTCTTCCCTGGCCCCCTGTCCTCATGTAGCACTTTGCCCTGGTCTCACATCTCTTCTCTCTTCTTTATAAAATCTCGTGGAAATGGGAAACATCTGGTGGCCATCCCCAGCCTCCTGATCCTCTCCTAAGCCGTGAAGACAGCTATTATGCTTTCCTCTCACCAGGTTAAACGGCCCAGACCGGGCCTTCTCCTGGTGCCGCTCCTGCTGGCCTGCGGGCACATGGCACATATGGCTCTTTTGCAGAGCGCAGCTTTGCTTGGGCATCTGGTCGATGAAATGGAGATTCCTCCCAGAGCGTTTGGCAAAGAGATCACATTCCTTGGGCCATTTGATCTTTTGAAAGGGATCTTTGGTGGGAATTTTCCCCCCCCAGAGCATGATGGGAGGTAGTGTGGTAGGCCACTCTGTTCTCCCCGCCCCTGCCCAGGAGAGCCTGGGATGGTTCCTGTGTGGCGCGGGAGCAGTTCCCTGCTGGAGTCCCAGCTCTGTCCTGGACTCGCTGTATGACCCTGGGGAAGCGGCTTCCCTTTGTGATCCTCTGCTCTCCTAACCTGTGAAGTAGGAGGGCTGGACTGGGCAGCCTCTAGAGGCCTTTCCAGCTCGGGGCTGTTAAGCCCAGTATATCTCTACCCTTTCTGATCCCTGTCGGCCAAGATTTCCATTTACATTGTGGGTCTGAGTGCATTCTCTTTTCCCCTGTAAACCTTCTTCTCTTCTGAACCTTCCTGCTTCTGGCAGGGGCACCTGGACAGCCGACCTTGGCATTCTCCTCTGCTCCCCATCCCTCTTTCTGGCCCCTTCTCTTCACCAGGCCCAGCTCAGCTGTCTCCTAGACCATTGCAGCGGCCTCTGTTTGGGCCTCCCTGCCTCCGGTCTCTCCCCACTCTGGTCCGTCCTCCACATTAAACTTCGGTGGTTTTCTGGTGTCTCATTTTTTATCTCATGTTTCTAGTATCCTTTTTAATTCTTGATTTTTAGGTGCACCGGTTTTATAAGCTACCCAGTCATTAGTACAGGGGCCATATAGTGGTTTGAATAGCCTTAAGCTGCCCTAAGACTTTGGGGACCTCGTGTACAATTTATAAATAAGCAAGCTTGCACATACTGGGGGGAGGCTGGGATATTGTGGTTGACAGGGATATACAGTCTAACAAGCTTTGGAGACGATTGTTGTAAAGTAAAATAGATTCCTCGGCCGGGCATTTGAAGCCCTTTCCAGCCTAGATCCTGGCTACCCTGCCCCTATTCTGGTCTAATCAGCCCGTATATCAATACCCAGATACAATATTCTCTCCCCCTCCTCAGTGCCCTCCCTTATAACACAGAACTTAAAAAAAAAAAAAGAGGGAAGTCTTAGCAGAATGAACTAATCCATCCACTCTGTGTCATGGCTGCTGTGGTTCTACCGATTCTGGCATCTTAGCTTTAGAGATGGAAGGGACTTCAGAGGCGTCTTCATTTTACAGATCACTGAGACCCCCAGAGGGTAAGTGACCCGCCCAGAACCACATGGTTTATAAGTGGCTGGGGCTAGATTTGAACCCAGGTCTTCCTGACTTCCAAGTTTGGTGCCCTTTGAGAGGCTTGATGTGCTTGAATCCAGGAGGACCTGGGTTCAAATCCTACCCCGGCTACTTGGACAGGCCATTCGAACCCCTCTGAGTTTCGGTTTTTCATCCGTGAAATGAGAGGGTCGCACCGAGTGACCTCCAACGTTTGTTGCGGCCTCTTCCTGCGTGCCTTTCCCTAGCCCCCGTCTGTGGTGCCTCTGTCCCTTTTTCACAGGCTGGTGGGTTTTCTCCTCCGCAGATGGTGGAGGAGAGTGAAGAGAGGCTGACAGAAGAACAGATTGAGGACCTTCTGCAGACTGTCACCAGCATCCTCCCTGGGGACCCTGAGGCCGAGCAGAAGCCCGAGGACATGGCGGTGGATGAAGGGGACCCTGAGTAACCGTGGGCCCCGGGACTGGACTCCAGACAGGGAGCCGGCTGAGCAGCTAAGAGACCTTGGCTTCAGAGAAGCCCCTCCCCGTTTACAGGGACCCCGACCCTGGTGGCGAGGGCAGCGAGCCGGCACGGCCTGCTGAGGAGGGAAGGACTCGGAAGGGGCAGCCAGCTGGGGGAGGGGTGGGAACCAAGCTGTCGGCCCCTTGGGTCAAAGTTCTTCTTTCCTCGTTCCAGCCCCAGCTGTGAGCACCTCCCTCGCTCCACGGTGGGGCCCTGCCATCCTAAGCACTTTCATATGTCTCTCCCCGCAAAGGGCCGTCTCTCCAGCTCCCCTTCCAAGCGCTGTGGATGGGGGAGCTCTATTTCTCTGGGCTATTCTGACGGCTTCTTGTTATTCTGTTAGAGAACCACAAAGAAGAAAAAGAAGAAAGGAATAATTAAAAAAAAACCCACACATTTTTCCCAGCATGCCAATTGAGTGAATTTAGCCAGCCTTTTCTTAAATTCATTTTATTAATAATGCCCCTTGTCTCAAGATCGGGGTTTTCCAGTGGAAAAACTGTGACTTAGTAGCTAAAGAGCTAGCTGGCTTCAGAGGCCTGGGTTCTGGGCCTGTCTCTGACTCGAGCTGGTTGTCTGACCCCAGGCATGTATGTAACCTCTCACTGCAGTAGGCTGCTCTCTCAGACTGTCAGTTGCATTGGTATGCAGGGATTCCTTGTATCGATGAAATCTCCAGTCGAATCTTTCAACTTATTTTTTTGGAGCTCTGCCGTCTAAAGTGGAACCCTTTCTTGTCTTTTCTGGTTTTTGGCCTTTTTTTTTGGTTAAATTTTTTTGGATTAACAAACATACATTTTCTCTGCTCCCCCCCCAAATCTTTGTAACATATATGCAAAACAGCTTCCCACAGTGGCTGTGTGTCCAAAACTGTGCCTCGTTCTGCTTCTCCAGCAGGTAAATTAAAGGTAAAAAGATGGTTTTCCACTTAAGAGCTGGACACAGGAGTCATGGAAATGAGGGCTGGAAAGGGCCATAAAGCTCCTCTGGTTCAGGCTTGGCTCCAAAGAAGAGACAAAATGCATCTCCCTCTGTCCTTGGCAGAGGTGGGGGCCTGGGGGTGTGGATCACTGCATATACTGTCACACTTGGTTCATGTGGTGGTTAGCTTTGTAAAGTCCTTTTTTTCCTTTTTAAATTTTTTTTTGTGAGTAATGGCTTGCTGGATTGGTGGGGTGGGGTGGGGAGGAAGGTGAGAAATTTAGAATGGAAGATTATGTAAAAGAAAAAGATAAATAAAAGCTTTTTTAAAAAAAATCCATTCCTACCTCATTTTAATTTTAATTTATTAATTTAGTTTAATTGACACCTCCTTTTGCTTTTATACCACAGTCATAGGACCCTGACACCCCCAGCTGGCTCCAGACCCTTCCTTGTCACAAAGAGATTCAGCCATCCCGCACACTGGCCACATTCTGTAGGACAGCTTACGCCACTTTGCATTTTTGTTGGTTGATTAGTTATGTCTGACTCTCCGTGACCCCATTTGGGGTTTTCTTGGCAAAGATACTGAAGTGTTTGCTGTTTCCTTCTTTAGCTCGGTTTTACAGGTGAGGAAACTTAGGCAAACAGGGTAAAGTGATTTGCCCAGGGTCACCCAGCTAGTAAGTATCTGAGGCTGTATCTGAACTCAGGTCTTCCTGACTCTCGGCTTGGTACTCTTATCTACTGTGCCACCCAGCTGCCTTTTACAGATGAAGAGCTGGGATTTGAACCCAGGTCCTTGGGCTTAGTCCAGAACTCTTTCCTTGGGTCTTTGAATGTGAACCAACAGATTATTAGTTCATTATCAAGTGAAAAACTCATTCCTATTCAGCCTTAGCCACAGGTATTCAGCCTGAGTGAGGATTCTGGGTAGACGGTTCTGCTCTGCCGCAAATGTCAGGGCTATGGTGCTTTGCTTAAAAGGGGTCGTTATTTTTCCAGATCTGTGGCTATGTTTTTCCAGAAGGTTGTCTGCTTTTAATGCCACCATCCAGAACATTGATGTGGCTGCAGTTACCTATTTAGGTCCCTATTGGCTGGACTCATCCGTATTGCCCCCTCCCAGGACGGAGCTGAGCCAGGTTACAGTCCCCTTGAAAGTGAGCCAAGGATTCCTCTGTCCGTTTGGCACACTGAGTGTTGGCCATCAGGCTGTGCACGTGTCCCTGTCGGTGATGCTTTCTTTTGAATTAAGGTGTGCGAGATGATTTACTGGACAGCAGTCCTCTTTACCGCCCAGTCCGCTGAACAATAAATCATTTCCAGGTGTCTGCTAAGCTCCAGGGAAGCCTTATAACAGAGCAGTTGGCTCTGTGGATGGAGGGAAAGAAAGAAAGAAATCTAGCGTTAGGGCAGTAGCAGGTATTTCTAGGAGCCATTATCAGAAATATCATTGTCATCAGTGAGGTCCTGACTGAACTAGGTTCTGTACTGAATTCATTTACAAAGATCCAGTCATAGGAGTGTATGTTTGATGGTGAGAGAGACCTTAGAAATCAACTGATCCAACCCTTTCCTTTTACAGCTGAGGAAACTGAGGCACAGAGAAAGGAAGTGAGTTGCCCAAGGTCGCTTAGATCCTGGCCATGAGCCATCCAGGGTCTTCTAGATAATGTACTTGGACACTATGATGAACATGAACAAGTGAGGGAATTTGAGAATTAATTGTACCCCTGGGACTAAAGCCTGATGTCTGCCTGCATTCTTTGATGTCTTCGGTTTCTGTAAGTCCAGGTACATTACCCTGTCCCTGTTCCCCCAAGGTAGGATGGAAAAGAGCGTGTGGCACAGTAGAAAGAAGACTGGTGAGGGGTGAGGATTCCTCCAGCTTCTGTGACCTACTCACTGAAATGACGGCAGATCATCTCTGCACTCTGTGGGTCAGTCTCTTCATTTGTCCAGGGGTAGAGTTGAGTCCACTGGGGAAGAGGTCAGCAGAGAAACTGACCATGTAAGAAGGTGCCAATACACCGCGTTGTTCTCCCCACCATCCCTTTTTGGTTTGACAGAATCACAGAGCTTCAGAAGCGGGTCGGCTGAAAAGATGACCGTCTAAGGCAACCTGTGTCTGAATAAGAATCCCCTCTTACCGTCCTTTTAAAAAAATTAAATTCATTTTTGTTACATTTTAAGTTCTGAACTGTCTTCCTACCTCCCTCCCTGCACTAGAGAAGGCCACCATTTGATGCAGATTTATAAATTATGTCAAACCATCCTATGCATACTTCTGTTTATCAGTTCTTTCTCTGGAGGTGGATAGCATCACCTACTTTTTCCATGGTATCTCTGTCTTCATCCTCTCCCAGGGAACCACCCCTTACTATAAAGAATGAAGACTAACATATCGAAAAAGTCTGCTCTGACGTTCAGTATTCTGTATCTCTGTCACCCCCTCCAAAGACGTTGGGGGAGGTAGACTTCTCATGGCTCTTCTTTGGAGCCAAGGTTAGTCTTTGTAATTTCACAGCATTAGATTTTTATTGTTTTAGTGTGCTTTCCAGTTACCTCGTTTTAGTCATTGTGTGTGTATGTTCTTTTCCTGGTTCCACATGGAAAAGGAGGAAGGAGATTAATAGACCTTCTTAGAACACATGATGAAGAGGTCAAATGCCTGCTGAAATACTTTTGGAATAAGCAGACATCACTTTGTCAGCAGTAGTAAAGACCAGTAACAGATATCCATCCGTGGGCTTTGTTGAATGTAAGTGAAATGGTTTACTGCTAGATGGAGCCCAAGAAACCCCTGAGATACAAGAGGGAAAGCCAAGAGCCTTGGGGATGTTCACATGAACCCATCCAACAGTATGGGAATGAAGATGCTTCAAACATGGGGATGAGTCAGTAGATTGGTTTGTGGAAGCCTAGAGGGTTTTGATGGGGATTCAGGACCAAGTCGATGACACCAGAAATTACAGAAGCGTTATCTTTAAGGAGCCCAGACCTAGGGACCAATGCAGATCAGGCAAGGAAATGGTGGAGATGGTGCAGTACTTCCCTGCAGGTGGCAAAAACTAAGCACCTACTGAATACTCATCATTATGTGACCTGGTGGCTAAAATAATACATTAGAAGCTTGTCTTTCACAATCGAACAGGCAGCAAATCCCTAAAGTACAAATAGATCTCAAGATATTTTAGAGGATCAGCCAACAAACTATAAATATTACATTTTTATCAGGATATATCAGGGGCAGCTAGGTGGCACGGTGGATAGAATGAAAGGCCCTGGGAGTTAGGAAGACCTGAGTTCAAATCCAACCTCGGACACTAGCTGTGTGACCCTGGGCAGGTCACTTAACCCTTTTTGTCTCAGTTTCCTCATCTGCAAAATGAGCTGGAGAAGGAAAGGGCAAACCACTGCAATATCTTTGCCAAGAAAACTCCAAGCGGGGTCATGACTGAACAATTCAACAGCGAATCAGGATAGTGGCTTCTCCTTAGATGTTTTCTATCAGAATTCCATTAAAAAAATAAGAATTTTTTTTTCTGGTTAGCTCAATTGAATGAGCATTCATTTGAGTCATTGCGCTATGCCGAGGCCTTCGTATGAAGTACTATGGCAGACACCAGTAGAGCATAAAATATCATTTCTGCCCTGAAAGATATTAACAATCCAGTTGTGAAGCACAGATATATAAAGACCCCAAACCACCCTACCCCGTTTAGCTCTTGATAACTTAAACTAGGTGAGAACATGTCTTGACCAATCCATCGATCAAAACACCTTATACTAGCTTTAAATTAGAATGCTATTAGAATTATATTCAATAGGTTGATGAAATGTCACCCTGCCCCAGGACCAAGGGATCATCCGTAAGTTATCAAGTGAGTTTGGAAAGGAGGCACGTCCCAGAAATTGGAGCATGTGGCTTTCTAATACATTCCTGAGGAGGAACCACCTGGAAAGAAGAGGGGGGACGGAGAGAGGCCTCTCCTTTGTCCTTAGCCAGGTGTCCTTCCCATCCCCCTTTTTTTTTTAATGTATATACAGATGTTTATAATTCACACAAACACTATACATAGCACTACATACGGTACAAAGATTATATAGGTCTGTGTAAATACACATTTTTTGTACCTAATTCTTTGCTTGTTGTCTTTTTTATTAATTAATTTATTTTTAGTTTTCAGCAATCACTTCCATAAGCTTTTGAGTTTAAAATTTTTCTCCCCCTCCCTCTCCTCCTCCCTCTGCAAGATGGCGTGCAATCTGATACAGGCTCTCCATAAGCATTCCTATTAAACATATTTTCACATTAGTTACGTTGTAAAGAAGAATTAGAACCAATAGGAGGAACCACAAGAAAGAAGAAACAAAACAAAACAGAAGAAGAAAAAAGAGCAAATAGTATGCTTCAATCTGCATTCCAGCTCCATAGTTCTTTCTCTAGATGTGGATAGCTTTTTCCAGCATGAGACTTTTGGAGATGTCTCCAGACATCTTAGATGCCTAAGAAGGGGTTTTCTAAAGCACAGATATTACTCTCTCTCTCTTTCTCTCTTTTACACAAACACACACACACACACACACACACACACACCCATCCCTCCCTACTCAATAAACTCTTCTGCCTTCATTATACCTCCAGGATCAAATATAAAATGCTCTCTTTGGCATTCAGAGTCCTTCACTGGGTCTCTTCCCATCTTATACTTCTCTCCCATCCATCTACTTTGCCATCCAACACTTGCCTTCTTACTGTTGCTCCCACTCTATCCATCTCCCGACTGTGTGTCTTTGCATTGACTGTTACCCCTGCTTGGAATGCCCTTCCCCATCCCCTCTGCCTTCTTAGCCTCC